GCTGGAGATGAACTCGCGGCTCTTGAAGCTCTCGCTGCCCTTCTCCCTGTCCGCGGCCGGCGCGCCCACGCTCTTCGCCGGCTTCTTCTCCTCCGACTTGCCCTTCTTCTTGGCCTCTCTGAGCAGAGACACGAGCGGGACAGCAGGGCGGCGTCAGGCAAGCAGGGCGGGAACACTGCTCCAGTCACCCGTCTCCCCCAGAGTCTGTCCTCTCTGGACAGGCAGGTCTGTTTTTGTCCACTCTCTATGTCCAGGCTGCGTCACTGAGTCTGTCCTCTCTGGACAGTGCAGTCTGTCTGTGTCCACTCTCTATGTCCAGGCTGTGGTCACTGAGCCTGTCCTCTCTGGACAGTCCCGTCTGTCTGTGTCCACTCTCCATGTCCAGGCTGTACTCACTGAGTCTGTCCTCTCTGGACAGTCTAGTCTGTCTGTGTCCAGTCTCCATGTCCAAGCTGTGTCACTGAGTCTGTCCTCCCTGGACAGTCTGGTCTGTCTGTGTCCAATCTCTATGTCCAGGCTGTGGTCACTGAGCCTGTCCTCTCTGGACAGTCCAGTCTGTCTGTGTCCAGTCTCCATGTCCAGGCTGTACTCATGGAGTCTGTCCTCCCTGGACAGTCAGGTCTGTCTGTGTCCAGTCTCTTTGTCCAGGCTGTACTCACTGAGTCTGTCCTCTCTGGACAGTCAGGTCTGTCTGTGTCCAGTCTCCATGTCCAGGCTTTGTCACTGAGTCTGTCCTCTCCGGACAGTCAGGTCTGTCTGTTTCCAGTCTCTATGTCCAGGCTGAGCCTGTCCTCCCGGGTGTGTGAGGGAATGTTTGTGTTAGACAGACGTCAGTCAGTGTGTCCAGAGTGTGGTTACTGAGCCTGTCCACTCAGCACCCTCCTGGCCATGATGCCTTCGCTCTGACATCTCCGCAATCCAGGAGCCACCAGCCCAGCTCCAATGATACTTTGGGCAACGAGCGACATGAGAACTATCAGGCACTGGTACTACTGCATTCCACACTTACTTCTTGCTGGAAGCTGGGGCACCACCACCACCACCACCACTCTCCTTGTACTCCTTAAGAGCTTTCTCATAGTTTCTCTTCGCCTCCCCTGCTTTCTGCTCCCATTCCTGAGAAAGAGAAGTACATTTTAGAGAGGCAGCACATTAACACTGCACTGAGAGAGAGGGTTTAATACAGTCCAGACACACTGACTGGACACTACAGGACAT